TATTTATTTATTTATTTATTTATTTGATTTATACCCCGCCTATCTGGCCACCGGAAGCACCAAATAACCCTTCCCCATGACTTTGAAGAAACTCCTTACAAGAATATCCTGTGTGTAGCTACTTAAAATCAGTCTTACTCTGTCTAGTGGAGTATATTCCCAAGTTAGGGTGCACAGAGTGCAAGTTTAATCTGCAGAACAGTGTTGAGAGAAGTTAAGAGGAAATGATTTAATGGAAAAATATACCCAAGGTGACAAACTGTAGCATGAAGTAATGATTACACTGCATCTTTTTTTAGATTGACCTGCACTACATCTCCATGTTGTTTCTGGAATCTAGACTGTAACTGGCACTATGTCATGGTACTACAATAGCACCCTGCAGCTAGCCCAATGCTAACTTAATAGTGTATGCTTCTCTTATTGTGAACAGGACAGGTTATCACAAGAGGGGTGGGGGGAAACCCACATATTTTGTATGTCTAAGCTGTTTATGCTATAGCAATTTTTCATCATTACACCAGGGGAAGCTTTGTTTTCTTACTTAATTCTCTTTAAGAACTTCCATCTGGAACATACAAGCAGTCCTAAAATTTAGCTATTCTATGGCAACATCTTACATTCATTTTTCTGAATGATACTTAATACCACTAATACCATGCAATAATGAGTGCGAATTTAGGAACATGCTTTCTAAATAGTAATGTATCATACAGGAACTTTTGATACAATATATGTGTAGGAAAGCAAGATTTTTTTTAAAAAAATTGTATTTTAACAGCTTTTGAATATTTCTCGTAGGTGGTAAGTTGTTTTTGTTGTTGTCATTATAGACTAGATTGGTATGTTGCCAATGCCATTTTACAGCAATATTGAAAACCTCTTTAGGAAAAAAAAAGAATTGTAGCATGCCCAGGTTAAAGAGAAATAGAAGTTGAATAATTGAAAGAAGAGCAATAATAAGTGATTTGTGAACAGTATTTCACAAACCTCATTCTTATTGAAATGGAGCAGTGCAAAACGGATGGGAGTCAGGCAAGCCCAAAGAACTTACACGGAACATTAGAATCTCTTCTCAAGAGAGTGTACAGCTACTGTGCAAATCATCAAGTGTTACAAAAATGTTCGCTGCTGGAGCAAATTAATAGAAGCCCATAGGAATACATAGACTTCTAATGCACTAGAATTCTCAAAAGGATTTCCTATGGAAAACAATGCCTTTGAATCCTAACTTGCTATCTGTGAATGGAGCAGGGGTTCAGTTAATAATCACACTGGTAGAGGAGGAGAAGCATACTTTGCCAATTTTCCTCTCCTTTTCTGCACTTGTCCCATAGGACCCCAATCTCTGCAGTGGAAAGGGAGAATACAAGGGGAATACAAGCATCCACAGGGGAAAATAATTGAATGTTGCCTCCCCTCTTCTATTGACAGGAGTGGAGGAATTCTACTCAAAGGATGCTCCCACCAGCAGGAGGATGCTCAGCATGCCAGCCTATGTTTTAGAATACTGTACTCAAACCAGCAAGTTTGCAACAGCAGTTAAATTGGCTTCATTAAAATATTGCACTCTATGCACCAGGACAGAGCATTTGTTACCAAAAGCCACACTTGGTTGCAGAATATACACAGACCTACAACGTGGGAGTTCTTTGACATTGTGACCTGAATTATAAACAGTGTCCCAGACTTTCAGGCATTTGCCATATAATCCCCCTCCTCTGACACTTTTACAGTTAATAGTTGGGAGCAAAATTGTTATAACATTGCTGGAAGCATATGTGACATATCCTTGCAGTAGGTTGGCCCCATTTTGGAAGGGGCCCTGGAATTCTCCATAGATGGGTTAACTAAATATAAGACACATACAGTAGGTCAAGTCAAAACGCTAACTATGATCTAAATCATACCGCAAACTCTCAATACAGTATGCCGAAATTCTCAGGGGCTCCAAAATCCATCCCAGCCACCCCTATTGTACTAGTGCCTCTCCTACAATTCCACACACACACACACCCTGCAGAGAAGTTGCAGGTTATCAGTCTAATACCATTGTCATTTTACATAGGAAAATCTACGCAGCCCTAAAACACTTAAACATTTCAAAATGTAGACTATTATAACATTAAAATAAACCCCACATACCTTTACAGATCCATGTTCAGAACTTTGCATCAGATGTAGAAATGAAAACATGATTATATTTACAGTTGTCCACGGCTTGTACATCCTTTTGAGTTTAATAATCCACACTTTGCTACACAGTTGATATCATACAGCTGAAGGAAGTGTTTCAAAATACATTTCTCTATAGAGTGTTTATTTTAAAAAAATGCATAATCAGATTATTTCCCCCATCCACTATAAACCTGAAGCATATACATGGAAAGTAAACAACAGTACTTTTAAAAGAAGAGCAAAATTCACATAAACAATGTCATTACTTTCCTGCTGTTACTTTCAGGTTTTTAAAAAAATGCCAAACAAGAGAAAACTAGTAGGGATTCCAGTTCGTATTTAATCCATCTCACACCTAATTACAAAAAAAAACAACAACAAAAAAACACACCACCCCTCGATGTTCATCTGTTGTCCCAGAAATGTTAAAATCCGCTGGGATTTCTTGGTGCTCCATGCGGCAGCTTCCTTTTAAGACGGCCATATGAGAGCCAGTGTTTTGAGCCAGGGAAAGCTGTAATCCAACTCTGTATTGAAACTTTTTTTCACAGTCTGCAGAAGCATGTGTCTTAAATCTGATACAGACACTGGCAGCAAATACAGTCACCTTCTGGCTCTTATCCCATTTTGTTCCCTCCAACGGTGGTGTAAGATTTACTAAACTAACTGATGCAATGTGGAATGAGACTATTTTATGGGGACCTACCTGAAACATGAAACTTCAGCAGTTATCTTACGCAGTATATGCACAACATGTCCTTTCCTGGCACTTCCCCTCCAGCCCATCACCCTTATGCTCTCTATGTTGCAAGACTCTGATAGAATTGATTTATTTATTCAAACAAACAGGTTTTAATAAGTAAATTAAAACAAGCGGTGAGATGTTAATTGTAAAATAAATATATTTTTATTACAGAAGGTAGAGATGAGTGTTACATATCACAAAAAAGTTTAAAAAAAAGCACATGCAGTCATTCATAGTACTAATAGTTAGCTTTGTTTCTAGACTGATTATAAACACATTTGTTGGAGTCAATCTAGTAAACCCACATAATTAGCCCCAATAAAAATATGGAAAGACGTTGGGTTATATAGCTACAAAGAGAGAAGGCCAGCCAGTCTAGTGTCTATAAAATCCCATGTGGTTGGTTTCCAATCTTTGATTTCCAAGTGGCAGCTCTCTCAAATCCATTTCTTGCACTTGTGAAGTCACCAATGGCTTGCATAATTTCTTCCTGGGTATTCATCACAAATGGACCTATAATGTAAATCATATCCATTTAAAGAAAAATTATCGATACTGCATTATTTTAATTTCTAACCTCTCTGAAGCTGGATTGAAAGTGCACCTTGTGCCTCATCTTCTCTTTACTTCCCGTTCCACTTGAAGCCATGAAATCCATTCAAAGTCCTCAGCTCTGTATATTATAAAAGTTGCTTCAATCTAGCACTTTACCAGTTGAAAATTTATATTAAAAATTAAATATTAAAAAATGTTAGGAGACAGGAGACTATGGTCCCTTCCTGGAAACTCCCCCTTGTTAGAAAAAGGGGACTATGCCCTTCCTCTTGGCTCTGCTGAGCACCCAGTGGTTGAAGGAAGTGAGATGGCTGGTCTTCAGAGTGAGAAGGAGCCACCACCACCTACCCACCCTCTCCCTGGCCTAAGAGAAGCCTTCAGAAGGCTGAAAGACACTCCTCCTCTCTGTCTACTTACAAAATACAGTGGTGCCTCGCATAACGAGCGCACCGTTTAACGACGAATTCGCATAGCAATCCGTTTTTTGGGATCGTTAATGCGATCGCATACCGATGCTTTCTATGGCCGAAAATCGCTTTGCGATGATCGGTAAGCATTTCACTTACCGATTTTCGCACAGCGATATTTTTTAATCAGCTGATCGGAGGTTCCAAAATGGCCACCGGACGCCCAAAATGGCTTACCGAGGGCACGAAAATGGCGGCCAGATGGGGAAACATCGCAGAACAGTGAGTTTTGGGCCCCAATGGGTTTTTCCGTTCCGTATAGCAATGTTTCCCCATAGCGACGGTTAATCCGGAACGGATTAACCTCGCTATGCGGGGCACCACTGTAGAGGCAAAACATGGGGGATTGTCTTCCTAATCCAACTTCCATGAGGCATATAACATATAACAACACAAAAACCAGATGATGTTATATTAACTTCTGAATCAGCTTCCAATTTAATACAACAGTGTAGTAGTGTTCATATGTAACTTTGATGGTAAATTCACAGCAGAATGTTGTATCACTAAGGCACAGCTATCCACCTAATTTTCAAATTCTAGACTGACTAACCATAACCATTTGTAAAGGCAGGAGAAATGATACAAGTACAGCGGGAGACAACCCAGTACCCAGATGGTTTTTCCTCCCCCCCACCCCCAAAATCCTTGGCCACCCTACCTGCTGGCTATTGTTTATTGAGGACTGTAGTACAAAATATTGGGAGTCTTCCAAGGCAACTGATCCTGCCTACTTCCAGTTCAAAAATAAACAAAACAGGGCCTCAGCAAATGCTACTGCCAAGCTGCAGGCTGATATAAAAAATGATGGAAAATGTCATGCATGTTCAGCCCACCATTGTGTGTTTCAAGTTCAAACTCCAATTCAGAGCTGAGGAAGTGATTAATTTACCAATATCCTGAAGCGGCTGTCATATTAAGCCACTTCATGATACAGTGGTGCCTTGACTTATGAACGCCTTGACCTACGAACATCTTGACTTACAAACAGCTCCGGTTGCAAAATTTTGCTTTGACTTGCAGCCGGAGCTTTGACTTGCGAAAGAAACAGGCAGGGAAAAGGGGAGGGAAATTCGAAAAACCTAACCGTTGGTGGTGAAGAGGCTGCTTCTTTGTAGCTCTTTCGCCCCAACAGTTAGGGAAAGGGAGACTGCCATTGCCGCCTTCAGAGGCCTCCCGGGGCTTCCCCGCCGCTGCCGGAGGCCTCTCAGGGGTTCCCCGCCACCACCGCCATCACCGCATTCGGAGGTCACCCAGGGCTTCCCTGCTGCCATGGGAGACCTCCTGGGGGTCCCCCGCTGCCATGGGAGACCTCCCGGGGGTGCCCTGCTGCCGCCGATTGCGTCCTTCAGGCTTTCCTGGGGGGTAGACTGGTGGGGTTATGTTTTTGTTTATTTTGGGATTTTTTTGTTTTTTGAAGCCCCAGGGGCCTGCAATGTTTTTTTTTTGGGGGGGGTATTTTTTTCTTCGGCAGGAACAAATTAATTGGTTTTCAATGCATTCCTCTGGGAAATGGTGCTTTGACTTACAAGCGTTTTGACTTATGAACACCATTCCAATATGGATTAAGTTCATAAATCGCACAACGGGGCCGTTCTAGCGATCGCAAATGTGATCGCACACCGACGGCCCCTATGGCTCAAAATCGCAGAGCGAAGGGGCCTGTATCGCTTTGCGACCTGCCCATCAGCTGTTCGGCGGCTTCAAAATGGCCGCTGGAAGCCCCAAAATGGCCACGCGCAGCGTTTTCACGCCCTCGTTACGCGAGGGGAGGGCGCGAAAATGGCTGCCGGCCATCGGAGAAACATCGCTGTACGGTGAGTAAAGCTGCTATTGGAACGCATTAAACTAAGTTTAATGCATTCGAATGGCTTTTTTTGATCCGTACAGTGATGTTTTCACACAGCGAGGCACCACTGTATTAGCAAATTGACAGCAGACTGCTGTGGACCAAACAGGATCATTGGAGGTGTGAATGCCATTTTGATGCGAGGATTGCACCAAATGGCATACCAGACCTTCTACCAACCCTATTTAGCCTGATCAAGCCCAGTTCTTTTCGATTGTATAGACAATACTGTTTATTGACTGATTTCCCTTTCTTATGCTTATATGCTGCTTTTCAGAATTAAAATTTTGGAGAGAGTATCAAAGTGAAAATATTTTAAAATCTCTTCACAGAATAAAATAGAATAAATTGGGTGTGCATATTAATCATGTGCATATAGCAGTTCAGAAGCCAGATCTATGTTAAAGAGCAGAACAAGAGACAGATCTGAAACAAGGCCTTTTGGTTCTGGCCAGTGTTTTGTTGGTTTTATATATGTAGAGTCTGAAAATGAAGAGAAAAAAGTTGTAGCATCTAGTTTAAGCTAATTCACTAGCTGTCCTTCATAGGCCTCACTTGCTTTAAAAATACAACTTGATTAAAAACATTTACCATGTTGTACCACAGCTTCCTTAAGTGGTTCACCAGCCACTAAGACAAAATGGCTTATGTCAGGACCCTAAATGAATAAAGAGAAAGCACCAATCAATAACGCACATTCTGAAATTAAAGATGCATTCAAACTCTGTTCAGAAACCCAAATTATTGAAAGTGTGCTCTACACCTTTAGACCCCTCTCATGATCTAAATTATGTGTGATGATCACAGATCACACTGGCAAGGATGGCAAATTCTTCTTCATACCTGCAAAGCTAGTGAGAAATTTCTTAGGCATTTCATTAGCAGTGGCCCTCATGCTGCCACCATTTCAAGGAGCTAGACGTACACAGAGAAAGGTCATTCTCTAAACTGCAAGTCTGTAGTCTGTTGAATTTCAACCATCATCACCCCACAAGGTATAATACTGAGAAGGACGTGGGGCATTTTCATGTGCTCTATACTGTAGACTGATGCATTAGCACTTTTGCTTAAGAACACAAAAGTGCTCTATTCCTCATGTACAATTTTTGTTAATAAACTATGTGTCTCAGTAGGGACATAAAGGTGCAGGAACTTATGGAAAAGAAATGGTATAAAAGAGGACTGTCATCTGCATGTTTGGAAAATTTCTGTGTGTCATGTTCCCAGGGGGTTTCAACAGGCAACAGTCCAATAAACCAGTCCAATATCAGAAGTCCAGAAGATGCAAAGCATCCAAAACATCAAAGCCAAAACACAAACCGTAGTCAGCAGTCAGAGTCCAAAGCCAGGGGTCCAGAGAACAAGGTCCAGGATAAGCAGGAGCGTGGATGCAAGCCAAAGTGTTTGACTTGTTGCTTCCACAAACCTGCAAGCCTCTGGGTGCAGATCTGATAGCAACAGCAGTCATTTAAACACCTCATCCTGCTAATACTCAGGGGTGGTCAACCTGATGTTCCTATGGGAAGCATTCATGCGGGCTTTGGATCTTCATGTCATGAGTACTTGCCGAAGCTTCTTCCTTACCCTGGCTACTGGGGGAGGAGAATCTGGTGGTGATTAAGCTGCCTGCAATTCTGATTGCCTAGCATTCTCCTCAGCTGTAATTAACCCCTCAGATTGCAGATCTTCTTCAGCAGAACTCACGACATTGTGAAAGATAGTGAAAACTGGTATTTAAAGGGGGGGTTTGAAATGTTCCCTCTAGCAGATCCTACAGTCATATTAGCCATCTTTTATTTTTAAAGATAAAAATATTTATTGGCTGAATTCCTGTTGCTTAGGGTAGTAAGTCACACTAAAATAGGCCCACTGAAACACTGGGGATTTGGTGAGCCAATGCCTATGTAAATTCCATTGATTTATTATTAGAGATCGTTACAAATTAAAAAAGGAATTACCAAATTTGTTCAAAAATCGCTAATTCATCAATTCATATCTATACGAATCAATGCCCCAACGAATCACAAATCAATGAATTTTTAGCACTCTTTGATTTGCCAACTTGTTTTGGTATAAAGCAGCCCCAAAGGCACCTGGAGACACCAAAATCACAGAGAAGCTTCCCTCATGACTCTACAATTTCTCAAGTTTGGTGAAGATTGGGTTTTCCCACACCAGCTGCTAAAGGGCATTTTCCTGGGGGGGGACCCTCTTTCTGAGTGTATAACTTAGATGTCTGAAATACAATTTTCACCAAACTTGGAAGTATTGTAGAGATGAGCCAGTAGAAGCTTCTCTGAGATTTTATTGTGTCTCAGTGCCTGGAGTGAACTTTCCTGGGAATACCCTATTTATGGTTTATAGCTCAGACATCCAACACACAGGGCTTGTAGAAGAGAGTCAGGGGAAGCTTCCCTGCGAATTTGGTGTCTCTAGGTGCTTGGGAGAGCCATTTTATACAGTTTCATAGTAAAAAAAACCCAAATTGACAAATCGATTCCACAGGAAAAAAATTTGTTAATTCATAATTCATCATTCGTTGACCTTGACAATTCACAAATGAAAACGATTTTTCTGATTCGTGCCCATCTTTATTTACTATGTTCAAGTCAAAACTAGAGTATGCCAATTTAAACTCATGTGATTTATGGCGGAGACTGACGATTCAATGGGCCTATTCTAGTGCAATTTACTACCTCAAGCAACAGAATTACAGCCATTATGACATAGGTTTAGCAAACTAGAGCTCACTTTGCTAATCAGAATTACCATGCCTAGGTTTCTGGCATGTAAGCCCCTAACCAGAAACCAACAAGGACTCTTCAATGTTTAGTGACAGCATTCCTAAGAATATGAGGGGTGCCATAACATCTACAGAAGAACGTCTGGGTTATGGCACATAGTGGGTTTTCAGTCATGATGTCCCTTCAGCCAGGAGTCATAAAGACATGTTCTGACTGTTCTGCTTAAGAGTGACTGCTGGATCCCTTGTTTTGCAAGAAAAGAATTGCAACACAACCTACTGTTGTCTTATGAACATGTGTTGCTTAGTATTGCAAAACCAGCTTGGGAAGGAAGGGTACAGCTGACACCACAGAAAACACAAACAAAAAACTATTTTGGATCATATTGTGTTCAGTTTTTCTATGGTAAGTACAAGAGGAAAAGTGCCATGATTTTTAGAATTTTCAGTTAAATATCTTTATGATTCCCTCGGGATAATATCACTCTTTCCAACCTATTTTCTAGCCCACAAATATTTGGATGAAATGTATTCACTATAAATATAAAATAATCTGAAATAAGTCCATCTTTTTTTATTCCACAAAATGACTCACACTATGTAACCTATCTACTCAAGGCATGGGAACAACACTTCTTTTTTAATAATGTGAAGAGTCTAAAAGGCAGATTAATTTGATTTAACACAACAAAGGAAGCTGCCTTGAAGTGAACTGATCCATCTAGCTCAGTGTATTACAGTGGCTCCCAATCATGTGTCCTTCAAATGTTTTTTGATCACAACTCCCATCATCTCCAGCCAGCATGGTAAATACCCAGCTGTGATGGAACTTGTAGCCCAACATCATTTAGGAACAAACCTTTCCTCTACACCAGGGTGGACACTGTAAACAATCTGAGGCTCCCTCTGCTCCATTTTTCATTCCCATACCCATCCTTTCTGATAAAACCTAAAGTAACTGGAAGAATCAAGCTTCCCAAAAATTTTATTTGAGGCATCAGACAGGTATGTGTGAGGATACCAAGCAGTATGTAATAGAATAACACTGTCTGGAAACGGAGAGACATGCTTCTCAGTTTTTCAGCAAAGGGGGTGGTAGTGCTCTGCAGGAACTATACAAAGGATTTGATGAGTCACAAATGGTCTTCGACCTGCACAAATCCTGCCTCTGATCTACAGTGGCTTACAGCAGTTCTCTAGGGTTTAATAGAGAGCATTTTCCTTCTTTTAGATGCCAGCAAATGAACACTGACCTTTCTGCTTTTAAAATATGTGATCTTCCACTGAGATATAGCCCTGAATTCTCGTCATGCTCAGTGTGATTATGATACATTAGCAGAGAGCATAGGCAGCTGTTCATGCCCCAAGACAGAAATCCTCAGACTCTGATCTGCAACACCCTGTTTTTCATGTGAATTGCCTGCAGGGCCAATTTGAATGGGTATGTGTCACTTTTCCTCTAGGAAATGCTTTTAGCATTTATCCCTTTTCCATCATGGAAGCCACCTGCAAGCATTCCCAGGCTGTCATTTAAGAATGACAAAGGGGGGAAAAAAGCAGTAAGACGAGTTAAAATAAACAAAACATGAGATCCAAGCCATTCTAGAGATGGGCATGAACCATTGATTCGGTGGTTCATGCTGGTTCACGTGGTGGCCAAACGGACGTTTGGTGTTTCAAAGCCCCATCTCCTCCAGTGGGTGTCCACTCAAGGACAGTTCCGAGAGAAGGTTGGGCAGGGAAGCCAGGTTGCTGCCTCCTTTGAAGCACCAAACACCTGTTCAGCTGCTAAACGAACTGAAACAAACTGCCAAACCTGTGGTTCATGCCCATCTCTAACTTACTCATCAGTAGTTCCACAGGAATCTGTGGGCACAAAGATATCTTTTGGGGGGGAAATGCAATCAGGTAGCAACATATAACGTGCAAACTCACAACATTTAAAGAACTTGGTGTAAGGAGAATTTTGAGCAAAAAAGACATGATTTGTTAAAAATGTTTATCGTTTTATTGGCTGTTTCTTCTCCTCTATGATTGTTTGTTTAAGGGTAAACCTGGACCATAAAAAAAGCTGACCGCCGAAGAATTGATGCTTTTGAATTGTGGTGTTGGAGGAGGCTCTTGAGAGTCCCCTGGACTGCAAGGAGTACAAACCTATCAATTCTAAAGGAAATCAACCCTGAGTGCTCCCTGGAAGGACAGATCCTGAAGCTGAGGCTCCAATACTTTGGCCATCTCATGAGAAGAGAAGACTCCCTGGAAAAGACCTTGATGTTGGGAAAGTGTGAGGGCAAGAGAAGGGACGACAGAGGACGACGTGGTTGGACAGTGTCATAGAAGCTACCAACATGAATTTGACCCAACTCTGGAAGGCAGTGGAAGACAGGAGTGCCTGGCATGCTCTGGTCCATGGGGTCATGAAGAGTCGGACACAACTAAACAACAACAACAAAACCTGTTCCAATCTGTTGCAAGGAATAATGTTGTTGAAGCACACAGTTTAGTCGCAAATTACCTTGTTCTCAAGCTGAACACAGTCCCCATCACTCAACACTGCAGTGTGATGGGGTTCTACTTTTTGTTGTGCATCAGGAGGACCTTTAAAACAAGAAATATCTTTTACGAAGTGAACTTTCTAACACGCGAAGCAAAAAACTATTTGCTACTGTGTCTTGCACAGTTGTTCTAAAACATATGCATGCATTTAAATGTTTCAGGAAAATGTTCAGTCAGCTGGCTGAAGACACCAGCTGGGGAATCTCTCCAAGGCCAAGAATCATTTCTCAGATTTGCCAGCAGCCTGAAGGCTCCATATTAAGAAAGAGGGACCAAAGGGAGGAGTTTGATCAAAGAGGCTAGTTTGTATCTTCAATACTTTTATTATTTGAAAAAACACAACACACACAGTGCAGTAGTTATGTAAAGTAA